CACTTAGCCTATATTTATCCTACTTGTCCAAAGAGCCTATGTTACAACCCTGAAAGACCTTTTGATTCACTAGTTGCAGTTTTGATTGGTTTAGAGTAGAAGTTAGACAATGGGCAAGCCCATGATTGAACTTGTTATCGACCAATTGAGTGCACCTATATCTTTATCTGTATAAGAAAGTGAGTGAGGCACACATATACATTCCATACTTGAGAGGACGTCATATTAAAGTTTAGCGATCAAGCATGTAGTCGTGTTATGTTCGTATGTGCCATTTGAATGCTCATTGTTGAAGTTGAACGTGTTGAGACTTATCTTGATATCGACTGATGTCCAGGCTCGTTTTTGTTTTGTGTCTTCTCTTTTCTTTTCTTCTCTTTTCCTTCCTTTTCTTCTCTTTTCTTTCTTTTTGTTCAAGACGAACAAAGGTCTTAGTGTGGGGGAGTTGTTTGTCCCATTTTTGTGTCTTTATTTCATGCTTATTTTCTTTTTGTTTTCCCCCATTTGTAGGTTTATCGTGGTTTATTTGGTCCATTTCGTTCGTTTTGTGTTTTTCTCCTTAGTTTCTTTTGTGTGTCTTTTTGCCGTGTTTTGCTTCGTGTTTTTCCTTGTTTTTGTGTTTTCAGGAGATAGGCTGTGCCGGTCGAGTTGGGACTGCTTGAGCCGAGGCTGTGATATTGAGAATTTCTGTGGCCGAGCCCAGAAGACGACAAAGAGGACTGAAAAACGGACAGAAACACGCGCCCAGAATTTCTCGCGACTCGCGGAAAAAAGTGAGGCTTAAGAGGATTTCCGAAGGACGAGTCGTGACTCGCGAGTTATGTCGCGACCTAACCCCAGAAGTTTAACATTTTGACGACGCGCGACTCGCGAGGATGTCGCGAATCGCGACCGAGGAAAAGACTATCTCGCGACTCGCGACTTATCCGGCGCGAATTTCGAGGATGAGATTTTTAGAGCAGATTTCGATCCTAGGGTTCATTATTCGACTTTCAGACTTTATTTTTACGTTTTTTCTCTCTAGAAACTCATTCCTTTTCATACTTTTGCACTTTTGATTGGACTTGGAGATTGAAAAACTCCTTTTCTTTGCTTTGGATTTGGATGCACTTGGATTTGACATTGGATTCTGATCATTAATCGTAAGTTATTTTTCTCAATTGTTTTATTGATGATGATGGTTTGGGTTTGTATGAATTTTGATATTGAATTCCATATGAGTAGCTAAATCCATTCGCTAGGGATAGGGGATGATTGATTAGGTTCGATAATGATTGAATGCTTTTGATTGTCCATGTCTATTCGAGTTGTGTGAATTATAGGGTTAGTAGATTGATCACCTTTCTAACCTAGATAATCAACGTGTAGAACCGAGAGGGGAGACGTTGGTCGAATTAGGCTCGTTTAGAATAGATTTGTTCGGAAACGTATTATCTATGTGTTGTTGGAATTGATAGTTGATCGTTTACATTCACTGTCTTGTTACGAAGAGTTATTGAGAGTGAACCTCTGAACGAGAAACGATTTAAGTCCTTTAACCGAGCAATTGATTGCCGGTAATTGTGATAGAACCGAAAGCAATTATCCCCGATTCCCTGGCTCTTAAATCATCGAGTGAATTTATTTGCCATTTTACTTTCATTTAATTTAGTTTACATCAGCAGTTGATAATTGAAACCCAAAAATATTGAGTTAGAGTGTTTAGGAATTTTTTTTCTCTTTTTCGTGATTGAATAAACGCACAAGAATATCCGGCTAACTTTCCTTGTGATACGACCCAGAAAACGAATCTTTCGATTATATTACGGTAAAAATACTGACAACACCTTCGATATGCGTCCTCCAGAAATTCATTGAAATAGGCGGCACAAAAATCAAATGATCATGTTAAAAGAATAAGTACACAATTCATATTCAAAGTATATTATTATTTGGCTTTATTATAACTCCATGGTAATTCTACATAATGAATGCTCATCAATCATGAATGTTCAATGTGTGCGTTTGATGTCCACTGCAAAGAGGTATTCCGGTAGCCTTCCAAAACCACTTTAAGTATGCACCAAAACCTCAAAATTGAATAAGCTGATGCAATCAAAAGTCAATAGGTATCCTATTTGAATGTCTTCGAAATGAACAAAGTCTGTCATCCTTCCACATAGTATACGAAATCATCTATGAGCTTCATCGTTACATGATAGGTATGACATTCAATTGTTTTGAGGATGCAACGATGTGGTAGGAATCGACAGTATTCACTGTGTAACGCGTGGGGTACTCGCTAAAGCACTGTGATCAAAATCTTGTTACTTATGTTTGAGTATGATTGGTGTATATCTCATTGCTATATATATATATATTTTAGTAGACATCAAGATGAACTTTAGCATGGATTTTCAAAGAGAAAATTAACACCATTTTAAATTAAATGGTAAAAAGTCGTAAGTGATATTTTTTTTTTATAAAAAAAAATAAAGTGTTAATTTAAACCATATTATTTCTCATGAAATTACTTGATATTGATATACATATCATATGACATGTTATTATAAGATGAGACATGAGAAGAATAAAAATTTTCCACATAAAAGGAAAAATGCAGAAAGCAAAAGAGAGAAATCGAAAATTTTCGATTTTACGGTAAACGTTCGTTTTAAATCCGAATTCGGTTCCGTAATTTCTATATTTTTCATTAAGTCACGAATTTTATCATGGAAATAATATTAGGATCACATGATGGCCCTTTCTAAGCATTGACTATAGATTGGAGAAGTTTACAAGTTATGAATTCCATTTATTATCTTTATTTATTTTTATAAAAAAAAAAAATTTAAGTATTCTTAAGTAATAAATGAGTCATTTTAACTTAATTTCGAGCCATATCAAGATTTAGTCAAAGAGAAAGGTTTTGTCTTGATATATACAAGATGAATCATGCATTACAAGTACTTTTCAAAGCTTACTCACAATTGTGCAAGATTTTAGAAAAGCATTTATGGCAAGGGCCCTAATGAGTTTATTATGATGGAGTGTTTATGTAAAGAAGGTGATGTTGTCTCCTTTTCTCCTCTATATAAAGGGGCATCAGCTTAGAATCGAAAATAACACCAAAATAAGCAAAGTCTTAGCTACAGAGTGAGGAAGAAAAAACCGAGAGTAATCTTGCTGAAGATAGGTCGAGATCAACTTCCGGAGTTTCATTTTCAAATTTCTTGAAGGAGGTTAGATGCTAAATTTTTATCATGTGTTTTAATTGAGATTAAGTGTATAATTATGTATTTTACATGTCATACATATTTAAATTTTAAGAAATTTTAAGCATGAAAAATGATATGTTATTTTCAGCTCAATCACATGTTATATACGGCCTGTTTTGATTTGAATTTTAGCATGTTATACATATACTGGGAAAGTATGATTTAAATAGGTATAACTCGAGTTTCATGTTTTTGAAGTTTATCATGTAAATCGAATTTTTATGCTAAGTTTCAGCTGTATATTTTGAACTCGAATAAGTACATTATATGCATGAGAAAAATGTGAAATTTTAATGACATGTATACTTATATGTTGAGAGTTTATCTGTAAAAATTTCAGAATTTTATGTTGAAAAATGAAGGAGTAAAAATGCTAAACCTCATGCCTGTCAGGTTGATTTTATATGTGATAGAACTCACTCCACATTCAAGTTTTTAATGTAAAACTTTTATGAATATTTCTTGTACGAGTATTTGTAATGATGACCAAGTTTCAGTATGATATGATAAGTATGTGAATTTATAAAATTCTTTGAAGTTAGGCGTAAAATTATCATAATTATATGAAAATTTTAATATTTGGGTGGATTGAGATATTGAAGTGCTTTTGATATAAAATTTTATAAGAGAATATATAAATATATCTACTATTTAATTATCAAGTTTAATAATTTTTAGAGATATCTGTGATTTTTAGAAAAATATACTTAGATATATTTGTTTGTATATGTGGTAGTTGTGGAGAGTCGAGCCTCCAACAGCTACATCAGTTATTCAGCACTTGCAAAGTCTTTTCAACATATCAGGTGGGGGACCTGCACTGGGTATTACATTGCTTATAATCTTGTACCATGTATGAGGTATGTATGTAGCTATTTTACCCGAACGGTCAAGTTATTCCGTTGGTGGTCCAGTTAAGATGAGTTTATGATCACCCGGTCTTGTATGGAAGGTTTTCCCATCCTGGGTTTCTGGGGAGGCAACCCCCAGAGTGTGATCACATGATAATCCGGCCAGTTTCCGGATGTTGCACCAGTTACAGTAAAGATTTATTTATGTATATACTTAGTTCATGATATGGGATTATATGTGCTGTTATTTTCAGTGTTGGTTTTTACGGAGCATAGTGGTTTTGCCCACGGCCCCATTATGTTTTTTTCAGGTGATGGAGTTCAGCATAAAGCGTGAGTCGAGCAGTGGTGTGGTGATGTTCAAATAAAGCTGGATATTTATTATGTTTGTGTTTAAGTTAAGTTGGTTTGTATTAAACTATATACGACTATATTATAATTTCATTTCCGTACTGATCAACCAGAACCATTAAGTATGTATGTATAATTATTTTATGTATAATTATTCTATGTATAATTATTCCTTATTCATATTATCCAGTTAGATTTTTTTATGGATACATTTATGAGTAAAAGAAAGAGTGAGTGAGAAGTTGAGCTGCTTGCCGTCTCTATAAGGAATCTCACCCGACATTCGGTTCTCCGATACATCGATCTCCTGCAGAAGGGTCAGCTTGGCTAGCTCGTCGGGCAATCGTCCCATTAGATTGTTGCGGTAGAGCTCGATCTGGAACAAGCTCTTCAACATGCCGATCGACCGGGACAGTTCGCCGGAGATTTCATTTCGGCATATATCAAGCGTGCCTAATGCCTTGAGCTCGAATATAGACTCGGGTATTTCACCCTCAAGTTAGAGCCTCCTAAATACAGATAGTTCAACTTCTTCAAACTTTCAATATTCTGGGATTTCGCCCTCGTCGAAGCTGTTACCGCCCAAACTCAACCACGTCAGCTCTGGCAAGCTCCCGACCCATTCTAGGAAGGGCCCGGAATACTCGTTATCACACAAGTCGTGTGCTACGAGCTTCTTGAGGCTCGATAAGTCAGGCACAGTTCCATTCATGTCATTATTTGAGACATTTAAATTTTGAAATTTATGCAGTTTTTCAGCTCGGCTGAGACGAGATCTGATTGCAGGGCAATGACAAAGAAGTTAGATTCTTCAGAACCGAAATCGATGGCGATATAACTCCTGAAGGGGATATGTTTTCCAGTGAGATTTTTGTGATGAACCCAATTTTTTTATCACAGAGAACTCCGTAAAAACGGCAATGGGAATCGGAATCTGAATCGGAATAAGAATCTTTCCACGATTCGAGGTAGTTAAGAGGATCAACCAATTGTTTCTTGAATTTCATCAGGGCTTGTTTTTTCACTTTCAGACACATGGAAATCAGGGAACATGACAAGAGGATCAAGAAAGTGGTTAGAATTTGGAGGGAAGGGGAGTTTGAGTGTGTGGCCATTTGGAGAAAGTTGAGGAACATAATGGACTTTTCAAGTGGGTGACAAATTCTATAGACTATTTTTTTTTTTCCTTCTTATTATTGCAATGGAGTGTCCATACCATTCTCCATTGGAGTGGTTAAGTATGAACAGTAGATGACATAAACTCTGCACCATAATGAATAAGATCACATTAAAAAAAATATGTAATTTAGTTTTATTTGCAGAAGCTAACAAGAAATAATTTTGGTTTGAAGGTGCAAGCTTTTGCAGTCTTACCATAGTCAAAAGGAAAACAAGTTATAAATGAGACAGTGTTAAGATGTCAATTTGAAATTAGATGTTGATTGATTGCAAATATGAAGCACAATTCGTCTATCTTTGAAGCAACACAAATGAGATAAGAGCTAAACTTAATCAATTTTTGTTTTTTTTTTTTGGGTTTTTTTATTTTTTATTTTTTTTATCTTTTTTGTCACCTAAGAACCAGCAAGGAACTATTTTAAATCTTTACCTTTTGAGAAGCTTACCCAAGAATGAAAAATTTGACAAACAAAAAACAAGAAAGTATGTTTTTTTAAACAAGTTTGAATACAAGAAAGTATTTCTCTAGTTATTCATTTTATGTATGAAAATGTTATATTTTTAACAATTGATCAAAGAAATGAGGCTTCTTCAATTTCATTCTCATTTTCTCGGCCTTTCTGCTTGCCGTTTCTTGTGCGACGGTCCAGTCGTACAACTTTTTTGTCTCTTGTGAGCTTACGGTTAATAAATAAAGTGAAAATCAAAATGAAACATAAAAATAAGCAATAGTGCTTTATAATTAGAATCTTAAAATATTTAGTTAATTTCACTATTTTTATTTTTTTTTTAACAGTTAAAGCATTTTAACATTACCTTTTATGATATTTTTAAGACTCAAAATTCAACATCCATGGAAAATTAACTTGTATTTGCACCTTTACCACATTTTCAAAACATACAAATCCTTTGAATTAATTCTCAATAATCACAGTAATTGTAAATGTCCACTATTTTCTTAATGAACCAGTAGCAGCAGCATGAATTGAATAGTTTCCCATTAGCAACAACTTCCCTTTATTAACCATCCATGTAGCTTCATTCCTAATGAGTTCCATTTCCTCTATCACTTTCTGCAGAATTTGACAGAACTTATCACCTTTAGGTTGAGATTTTTGTTTTCCCCATGAGCTTCAAAATGATCGACAAAATGGGATTCGATTTTATCCTCTGCCTCATGTGTTTCATCGGCTATACGTCCCTCCATAGAGACCCCTTCTTGGCTGTTGACGAACGGATAACGTTCGAGAAAGAACCTCTTATGTGATACTGAAATAAAGAACCAAAAAGACAAATGCACAATTTACAAAAGCAATAAAAAGACATGGAACAAATAAGATAAAAATGCAAGGTTTTTAATCTTCACAATCATAAGCTCAAGGCTTAACAAATAAATCAGTACCCTTCAAACAGAACATAAGATTAGTGAAACAAATATAAAGATAACAAAGGAAAAAAGCGCCATACTCACAAGAGTATATGGACAAATGAGTACTAAGATCATTATTACATTTGCTAATCAATTCTAGACATTATGCTAGCATATGCATTACACTTTGGACAAGGCTCAAATCACAAGTAATTTGTTTTGGAAGACGACCTTCCTTTTCCAATCCTGTCTTGTTGATGTGTGGGATCTTATACTTGTTGGAGCCTCTGACTTTCTTTATTTCTCGCATGCATAGTTGTAGACTCAAGAAAATAAGATCCACCTTTCTTGGAGGGTACTCGTCGAATGACTTTTGAACTGCATGGATAAGTTCTTCCACTGTTCTCGGATGAGTCTTACGTTGTAATGCTTGAATGGCACTGAAAAATCCAAGATCCAAAATGTTTAGATCCAGAGAGTTCGATGGTTGACACATTAATCGTATGTCAAAACCATTTTGTGAACCAGCTATTTGAAACTCTATATCGGTTGGATCAATATGAGTTCATGCATTATTTTGTTGAATGAAGATGATCTTTCCGAAATCCTCTTTTGGCCACACTTCTTGAATTTTTGGTATATCCTTTTCGATAAAAAATGTTTTTACTATCTCTTATGTGTCAGAGGTAGTCGGTTTGAGCTCCAAAGTCCCAGCTTCTCTATTTCGACTTTTTCTTTGGGCTGGTTGCATGTTAACAAACGGAAAGACTCCTATTTTTTCAGAGAAAACTTCCTTTCCTTCATCATCTAATCTGGACGAGCCATAGCAATTACCTTCGCAATAAAGTTCTTATTTTTACAACTACGTAAAGGCTCTTCTTAGTTTGGAAGTAAATAATAAGTTTCACATTTTTTGGTCATATAGAACCATTTTTCATCAATATGCACGATATTGTACATACCAACAAACTTCGGCTCATGAGAAATGGTATGTGCTTCGAGCATTGATATGCAAAACTGTAAACGAGCTAGTTTGTGATCTTCTTTGAGATATGGCTTAATGGTATTTGAATGGCGGCGAAGAAGACCTCTTTTCACATTTATGAATGGGTATTTGTTATTTTAGTACTTGTACTATGGGGTAATTGTGATTTTCGTACCTATTCTTTATTTATTGCGAAAATACAACCTTATCTTTACGTTTTTGCGAATTTGGTACCTAGTATTTATGTCGGTTTGCATGACTTTACGTTTCGGACTCGTTTGGGCTCGTTCGAACTCGGAATTGAGTTTCGTCTTTTTCTACGCGTCGCCAACGAACTCCTCTATTCAATGATGCTTGTATGACCAAATTATTATTGAAATACTATTCTCTCAAAGCTTATGATCAGAACACCAAAGACGTGTTTCGCGTGACTTCGTGTTTTGGGCCCGTTCGAGCTAGTCCAAACTTGGAATTGAGTTCCACTTTTTTCTACATGTCGCCAACGAACCCTTCTACTCGACCATGGTTGCCCGGTCAATTTTCGGGCCAAATTTATTCCTCACGGGACTTCCAACCTGCACACTAAAAACAAGAAGAAAAACAAAAAAAAAAAGAAAAACACACAACACAATAAACTACAAAAACGAATAAAACCCAACGAAAAGTCATAAGACGGGAGAAAAATAGTGAAAAAAAATAAGAAAAAACGTAAAAAAATAGAATAAACACTTGCAAAACTCCATCACTACTAGTTCAAATTTTCCAAAAACCTTAACGTTTGAATTGACAAAAAATTAAAAACCAGTAGTAATGGAGTTTTGGCAAGTGTTTGTTCTATTTTTTTACGTTTTTTCTTATTGTTTTGTCACTATTTTCTCCGTTTTAGAACTTTTCGTTGGGTTTTATTCGCTTTTGTAGTTTATTGTGTCGTGTGTTTTTTTTGTTTTTCTTCTTATTTTTAGTGTGCAGGTTGGAAGCTCCGTGAAGAATAAATTTGGCCCGAAAATTGACCGGTCAACCATGGTTGAGTAGAAGGGTTCATTGGTGACATGTAGAAAAAAGCGAAACTCAATTCCATGTTTGGACGAGCTCGAACGGGCCCAAAATGCAAAGTCGCGCGAAGCACGTCTTTGGTGTGCTGGTCATAAGCTTTGGGAGAATAGTATTTCAAGAATAATTTGGTCATAAAAGCATCATTGAATAGAGGGGTTCGTTGGCGACGCGTAGAAAAAAACGGAACTCAATTCCGAGTTCGAACGAGCCCGAAACGTAAAGTCATGCAAACCGACGTCAATACTAGGTACCAAATTCTCAAAAACGTAAAGGTCAGGTTGTATTTTCGCAATAAATACAGAATAGGTACCAAAAACATAATTACCCCATAGTACAGGTACTAAAATAACAATTACCCTTTCTGAATAATGTTGTTGGGCTCACTTTTAGACTATATGTAAGTGATCTCAGAGTTGTTCGCTTGCGTAATGGAATTTCTCCCACTCGATGAGGATCGATGTACGCTCTCTTTCGTCCACAATTTCTCGTTTTTCTATGAGACATGTCTACTAATGCTCCATTTGAAGTATCTTTTGTCGTTTCCAAACACGTTGAATTGTTCGTATCGACACGGATAGTAAAGTAGAGACCTCTTTTGTTGTGTCTCGTTTCAACTTTCCGTTCACACTTCTTGATAGTAAAGCATTATAGATTGTCCATCTTTGCTCATTAGACAAGTTTTTCTTTTGTCTTCTTTCTTGTGATCCTGTGAATATCATAGAACAATTAAAAACTAAGTTATTTTTTTTTTTTGCAAATTAAAGTCCATTTACCATACAAGTAAAAAAGCGTGACAAAGGTACAAAGAAAAATTGGATTTGTACATGATATAGCTCCAGGTAAACACAGATAAACATAAAATTGGATTAGCAAGCAAACACTGATAAACATAAAATGAAAGCAAAATACGGTCCTTATACATGCTATAGCTCCAGGTACAAAGGAAAATTGGATTTAGTTCCCCTGATCTACTGCACACAAACCATATCTTCAACACGTTGTAACAAACAAAGCGCAAAATATACATGAGATAGAGA